TTAGCGTAATGGCTATGTCGCTGGACTCCCATGTAGTCGACCATGGTTTGCGTCCCAGACCCGGTGGCTTAAAACTCACGCTGGGCACATGTGCGTGTGAGCCCAAGATCCCAAGAGGAGAATGGAGGAGAAGGGATTGCGGCGTGGCCATCCCCCCGGGGGGTGATTTCTTGCTTTCTGTCTCTCTGTCTCTGTCTGTCTGGCAAGTGCACGCACCCTATAGAAAGAACCTCTCCAAAAATAAAAAATAAAAAAGCCAGCCACATACTGAACAGGACCATTGTGAACTGAGCCAAGAGCAGAGCCTGGTCTCCCAACCCCCAGGTCATCTCTTTCTAGAACTGTACCGTCTAGTCGGTAGTCACCAGTTACGTGCAACTATTTATATTTAAATATATCAAAATTAAATCATATTAGAAATTCAGGCCTTTGGGGCCAGCAGGTGGCATGGTGGTTAAGGGCGCTGGACTCCCACATAGCCAACCATGGTTCAAGTCCTGGACCTGGTGGCTTGCTTTCTCATTTCCCTCTCTCTCTCACTCTCATTTTGTTCCTCTCTGGTCAAATTAAAATAAATAAATAAAGTTAAAATAATTCTTTAAAAAAATAGTTGAAAGAATGTGAACACTTTAAAAAAAAGAAAAAAGAAAGAAATTCAGTCCTTTGGTCACACTAGCCACACGTCGAGTACTCAATACGGGGGGGTGGGGCCTGCCAGCCTACCGGGCGGAGCAGGTACGGTGCATCACTGCAGGTGGCTCATTGATCTGGCACTGGTCTAGAACTTGTGCCTTTCATTGGAAGGTACTATGGAAAGTGGACGCTTTTACCATGTCCTCTTCCCTCAAGCAATTACTATAGAAATTTGTAAGAGAATGTGATTATACTGTTTAGCTTTGATAGCTTAATAATTTTGACAAACTAGTTTTTTGTTTTTTGTTTTTTAGGTTTTGCAATAGGATGCATGAACTGGCTTGAGAGAGACAGAGAGAGGGAAAGTAAGAAATCAGCCACCGGGGGGATGACCGTGCTGCAGTCTCCTCTCCTTTCCATGTTTCTCTTTGGATTTTGGGTACACATGCACTCACGCCTGGTGTGATTTTCAAGCTGCTGAGTCTGGGACTTGAACTGTGGTCAGCCATGTGGGAGTCTAGTGTCTTAATTACCATGCTTGCCCCAAACTAGAAGTTTTTAATTGCCAGAGGGTACATGTGCTCACTTGAGAGAGAGAGAGACTGAGAGAGAGAGAGGACGAGGGAGAAAGCACCCCCTGTGGGACATGGACGTACCACAGTCCCTTCTCCTCTATTTCTTCATCCTGTCAGGATTTGGGGCACACAAAAACTTGTGCCCAGTGCGTTTATCAAGCCTGTCCCACAACTGCTTCCTTACTGATGTCTGTGGAGGGAGCAGCATTCTCTTGAGGGAACCACTGTGCGTCCAGGAATGCTAGAAGGCAAGCAGACAGAAAAACCCACAGTGGGGTGGGGTGAATTGGGGTGGGGTGGAGTGGAAGGTGGCTGACTCACAGACATTCTTGAGAACAGCTGACCCCAGGCGGGCAGGGGGTGGTGGTGAAGAAAGTGGGGGGACTGACCCTTATGTCACACAGGGGAGCTCACTCACACACAAATTATCGTCAGACAATTGAGGCAGCCTTGACTCAAATACATTTGGATAAGATTTATTGATCGGATTGTTTTAGAAAACCAACAGCAAAACACTGACAAGGTACATAAATACAGATTGGACATTTTAGGGTAAATTCACTATATTTCCTACTTGCTGGTAGGAAACCGGGTAAGGTGGAAAAGCTGTCCTGATCATATGGCATGCACACAGACTGCAAAAAGACTTCCACACGATTTAACAGGACTGTGGCAAATAGCTTTAAAGTAAGGCAAGCACTGTGTGAGGCCTGAGGGGGCCCTGTAGGCAGAGCAAGCCCAGGCTCACCCCTCAGAGACTGTTTCAGAGCGAGGCTTCCCTTTCTTGCCTAGGTTCTAGTAAACTGGTGGGTGACAGGTGCCTTTATGGGGAGGTGCTGTGTCTCCCTGTGCAGGCTCTGTGTACAAGGAAGTGGCTTTAGAGAAAGTGTTTTCTGATGCCTCCTTTGTATTCTAGATGTGTAACTAGTGAAACAGCAATTACTACCACGTGGTGACATTGGTTTCTTCTCTGAAAACTGCCTCTGACTCACCCTGTACACTGAATAAGCAGGGCCTTTAAAAAACTTCTAAAATGTTTTAAAAACTAAAAGCATGAAAATTACACTAAAATGATGGTACCACTTTTAAAGCACAACTTAGAACTTCTGTTCGTAATACCAGACGAGGGACAGGGTCACGTTCCACCAAATCTAATGACCTTACAGGGGGACTGCTGTTGCGGGGCACGATTTGGGGTGACATACACGGAGGTTGAAGAACTCTGTCGAGCCTGCCTCAGGCCCTGCCAACACTTCTAGAGTTCCGAGGTATTTGGGGACCCAAAACAATTTAAGTTGTGACCAGTTTCAGGAACTTATGATCACAGGATCATAAAACCTCATCAAACGAGAGTTCAATACCAGAAAAATTAAAGGAGACAAAAAAAAGGAAAATGGCTTTTTGTGCTACATTGGAAGGCTGGCAGGTAGACAATCAGACCTGTGCCACTTTTTACACATCTGTAAGACCACATAAAAACAAACTGGTTTTACAGAATATTAAGATCAACATAATCTTAGAGAATAATTCAACTTTTTTGATATGCCAAGCTAGATGACTAGAAAAGGTATCTCCAAAAGAAGAAGTAAGGCTCCTACAAGATTAGAATAAAACTGTTTGTCAAGAGCCAAAGAAATGTGTTCAAATAATGGGAATTGCCCTACATCATCCACAGCTTTTTCTTCTCACGGATGCTAAGAGTTCTTTCGTGGTGGTAGGAGAGACAGCCTAGAACTCAGGGCAGGAGATTCCATTGAAGAGTAAGTCAGGATTAACACCATGGTTCCTAATTTCAGCGTTCATCAGTAGTCAGACGGACCAGCTAATCGGGCTGCTTAGGTGTCTAGCCCCTCCAGGACTCGCCTTTTCCTTTCTTTCTTTTATTATTATTATTATTATTTTTAGTTTTTTTGCCATAAGGCACATGCACTTGCTGGGAGAGAGACAGAGAGAGAGGAAGTGAGAAATCAAGCCCCGGGGGCGATGGTTACACTGCAGTCCCTTCCCCTCCACTCTCTTCTCAGGATTTTGGGCACCCACACACACGCACCCAACGTGTCTCTCAGGCCACTGGGTCCAGGACTCAAACCACAGACTTGGCCATGTGGGATCCAGTGCCCCAACCACCATGCCATCTGCTATCCCTCCTTTTCCTTTTCCAACTACTCATTAGCCTCATGCCACTGAAAAGAAGGCGTGTGTGGGAAAAGGGCAGGGAAGAAAAAGAACTGTAAATGAATCATTTGTTTGATAGTAAAGTTGTAAGACATTATCTATGGATTTCAATGATCTGTGCTTTTACTCATGCTACTCTAGATAACCAAAGGTCACTATTAGCATATTTTTGCTTTAAAATGTCCATAGGTTTATTATTATAGTTTTATCTTTAGATATGTAATGGACAAAGATGGTCCTCACTGGGCCCTGAAAAAAGAAGACTCTGCAAGTGGAAAGGGTTTCTTTTGGCCCCTGAAGAAGAATTAAAATTTCAATATATTCTTTATTGATTTATAGCTTTTCCGGGATGTGGGAAATACTTCATTAAATAAAGAAAGCATCATTTTCTTCCTTTAATAAAGTATTAGATCCCCAGATAACTTTATATACATGAGAGAACTGAGAGTCTTAAATTACTATTAAAGTGTTACTTCTCCATTTAGGAAACTCCACCTGTAAGGAGTTTCCTAAACATTTCTTTGTTCCTGGGCAAAAAATGTAGGAAAACATGCAAACATAAGATAGCAGTACAAAGGTGACTGGGGAAAAACACCCCAACTCTAACAAACCCACAGAACAATAAGTTTCTAAGAATCGGAGTAAGAAACATGGACTGAAAATCCAGCTTCACCGAGAGCTGGCTTAAGCCAGTTGATCACAGCTAAAATTCTTAGCATAATCTGACTCTAAAGTAATGAGCTGGCTTCCCCAAGGCAGATAGAAAAAGTAGTCTACCTACTTTAGAGCCACACCCTATATATAATCTGTATATATCCATGTGTTTCTATATATTGCACTTTAACTTACAGAACTGTAGTAAGATGGCTGGAAGTACCTCAAAGAGGCTGAGAAGCAGCAGGCATAAACCTTCCTAAATCAAGGAACAGTGTCAGGAACTCTGAGTACTGGTTATAGACAGAGTAAAATGCCTGGCAACCCCTTCTATAAATTCCAGTCTACATTTACATCATCATACACACAGTATCATTTGGCATCCGGAACATTCGCATATGTGTGGCTCTATAGCACTCAGAGCTGGTCTTACTACATCAGCTTTTACTAGTGTTATATTAAAAGAAGACACCTCAGACTGAAAGTATGTTTATGAAAATATCACACACAAGTCTTCCATGTCAGGCCTCCAAAGAAGACTGCCCTCAGGAGGCTTAAAAAAGGATTCTAGCAAGTGTGGATTAAACTAGACTACACCTCTAGCTTTCTGGTGCAGCAGAGCTAGAGACGTGCTTATATCCCAAGGACCATGGAGATCTAAGCACAGAGGCAATATGTCAGTTTTAGGTCCCGTATAAATCTATGACAAAAATCCTTTCACCACCCTAGACAACATGCTTTGTTTAATTTTGGATATATTTCCACCAGATATCAGACAGCAAGCTGGAGTCACGTAGTGAAGTTCTGTTTTGAACCAATAGAGCTGCTCAGACTAACCTGCTCTGGAGAGGGCGACTCAGAGGAGTAGCCTCGCAGTGGGTGGTGAGAGGTTAAATGCCATGCAGGCTGGCGATGGCAAGATGTGGAGGATGAGATCCTTAGAGAAGCTTCCCCTTTTCATATTCCTCGTTCCCCTAAAAGGGCCCAAGATCACAGATGAGTGGTTGCAACAGGACTTTTCAGAATACAGGCTCCATTAACTCAACATGGGAGGGATGTTACAATAAGGCCTACAAGTTAGGAGCCAAGTCTGGAGGCCAAGGTTTTCTCTCCCCCAGAATTGAACACTGGGTGGTGCCTTTCAGTTCTAACTCAAAGGTGGTTTTAAGTCCACACGTAAGCTAGAGAGATTCCTTGAGGGATGAAGAAAAAAGAAGAGTAACTTTAAAAGCTAGGTGAAAAAGAGGCACTTAAAGGAAAAATCTGTCCCAAATCTCCCGTGTGAGTCTCCACCAAGAGGTGACCTGCGAGAGGATTGGCACTGTGCCCTCCTGCATGCCCTCAGTACCGTGAGTACCGTGATTTCCAAATGCTGGTGGCTTGTGACATGCTCACCTTCTCCAGCAGGCTGAGGGCAAAGCAAGTGAAATTAAGTCATTTTTCTTTTCAGAATTAAAAAAACAGAACCCAAACTGAAATTTCACACCAAAAAAAGTGAGTGATACTCAGTTTCATCCTTCTTCACACTCGTTTGTAAATGACACTTGCTTCTTCAGAAAGGATGACCTATGGCTTTCCCCTGAGACCTTTTATCTAATCACTAGACAATTAATCTCAGCACCATGCACATTAAAGCAGACAGAAAAAGAGGCAACAGCTAAAAGGAAAGCCAAGGACCAACTGCCTAAGGAAAGGCCAACTACGGGGTCCAGCAACTGGAAAAGAAACAAGTTTTGAATAGAAAACAGCTAACATGACAGTCCAAGGCCAGCGCCTCAGCAGAGGCCAAGTGAACAAGCCCAGAGTGCACTGGCTCTCTATGCTGGCTCTCCTCTGGCCCACCTAGCAGGTATTTGTTTATGTCCCATGGCACCTCCACTGCATATTTAGGGTCTATAACTCCCCGTAGAGAAGTCAAAGAGATAGTTAAAACCATTAATAAGCACAGGAAAATTTCCAAGAAACCCAGAATGAAGAACTCTGACCACTAGCAGTTTCCAAGTGGAGACATTTTTGGTGCTGTATTTCCCAGACTAACCACAAAGAGCATGACCCGGACACACAGTCAGTCTTTCAATAAGACAACTCTAACCACTGCCAGCATGTAGGGATGAAAAAAGAAGTCACTAACCAAGAGTTGCTGAGCTGCTAAACTCTACTCCAAAGCCAAAGGGTTTGGGCATCTATGGAGCAAATGTCCACCATTGCTGCCAGTGGACCCAGCTACTCTATCAGACACATCTGGAAAACACGAAGTTAACATCACATTTAAGTACAATCCGCCGAATTCTCAAGGTTAACCTTCTACTTCTAAACTGTTTTTTCTTGCTGCTGCTAGATTTAAAATGTTTTAATTTTATTTTTGTTCTTGATGATGTTTAATTTGGAGAGCACTGGCTGCCATAGCCATATATTCAGAATTCCTTCTAAAAAAATCTTCATCTTATCTTGATTCGCAACATTATGAAGGTACTTTGAGACTTTCCCTCAACTCCATCAAGAAAGAGGGAGTATGTATGTGTCCGTGCTGGGGCAGGAGGGAGAGGAACAAAGAAAGAAGCGTGTAGGAAAGTGAGATGTCCATAAACTTAAAAACCGATTTACAGAAAGGCATCAGATGTATTTTCTGAGTAAGGCCTTGATCAGGGTAACCAATCTTCTTTGTAGCACATTCTACACTGCCCATAAATAAAGGAGTCTCTTTAAATTAACATTTCCAGTATCAATGAACAGTCCAGAAATCCTCATTTCAAGCGCTCGATGAGTCCCTGTGTGAGTCCGAGGTGCAGAAGCTGTGTTCGGGAGAGGTTTGCTAGGTTAGGGAAGGCCGCGAGCAGCTTCTCCCACGCCAGTTCCAGCAGGCTAGGTACCACCAGCCAGATCTTAAACAACGACCCAGTCCGTTTGTTTTCGTGGATGTTCACCACTCCGCCATGAATGTACATGCAACCAGCCTACGAACAAACAGCAGTCAAAGGCAACAAATTCAAACAGGACAGAAACAGAAACCAAAGCTGAACACTCAGCCCTCCTCTCCACCCCTCAACAACAACAAACACAGTGAGCTGATCAGGAGGTGAAACAAAAACATTTCTCACCAATCCCAACATACTGCAGAATCAAGGGGGGCTAAGTGATGAATGAGTTACTAAAGAAATAACAACAGACATTAAAAAAAATTTAAAAACAAACAACTTCATTCTATTAACTACCATTAAACCATATTAACTATCCAAAGTGGCAAATCTTAAAAAATACAAAGATGAAAATAAAGGTCTTTGCCTTCAAGAAACTAGTGGGATCCTCAATAATAGGTATCACAGAGGTAAAACTATTCTGTCCTCACAGGAAACACCTTTAGGATTACTGCCCAGACCCGAATGCCACAGGAAACATTTCTTTTACATTTATGTTTTACTTTTTTTTTTTTTTTAAGGTTTTTGTCATATGGCACATGTGACACATGGCTTGCCACAGAGAGACAGTGAGAGGGAAAGTGAGAAATCACCCCCTGGGGGGATGTCCACACTGCAATCCCTTTTTCTCCATTCTCCTCTCCAGATTTTGGGCACGCACACACATGCACCCGGTGTGATTTTCAAGCTGTTGGGTCTGTAACTTGAACTGCAGTTGGCCATGTGGGAGTCCGCCACCTTAATTACCATGCCACCTGTGGCCCCCTGCTTTCGAATTTGGATATGATGGGGGTTTTCTCTCATTTTCTCAGAGGAAGGGCTAACTTTGGGAGGAAGTTTTAAAAACATATTCTTAGTCCAAGGTATACCTATCAGGATCTTTTTTTCTTGCTATTGGGTCTTCGAAAAGTCATGATATATTTTTGCACAGGAAAAAAAAAAAAACAAAGAAAAATATGTTAAGACTTTTCTAACGACTCAGTAATATCTCTGAAAAAAGGTTTCTTCAGCATTTGCAACTACGTAAGGAAGCTATGAAAATAAAAACTTACTGGTGTAACAGCTGCACAGTGGAAATAAACTGGCTCTGGCATGGTAGCTGGGAGCTTCACCCATTGAAAAGTCTGCAGATTCAACTTCCAGATATCTCCCAGGATCACTTCCCCATTGTAGCCCCCACAGATAAAAACATCTATCAAGAAAAGAGAAAGCCAAGATCACACAAGGAAAAGAGCCAACACTAGGGCATGTGGGCATGTTCTGCAGGAGGTCACAGAGCAAACTGACATGGGACCAGGTAGGTGGATTGCTCCCCCCCCTGGAGGATATCCACTGGGCACTAGCTCATGTTGCTGTCTTCATCCTCTACAGAACTGGGACACGATGCCTGTGGTCTTCACTAGGACTGAGAATAAGCAGGCCTTTAAGTGGGATTCACATTAGGGTTCTCAAAAGCAAGTACCTACAGGTTCCAGGCATAGAAAGTGAAGGTTCAAGGGGGTCCAGGAAAAATAAACAAATAGGAGGTCCAGGGCACAAAAACTGGAGTGGCCATGTGCTAAGAGAGGTGATGGCTAGCTCCAGCTGACTGCTACCACAGAGGACTGAAGGTTTACAATCGCCACATCTTTCAATTTTTCAAAAGAAGCTGGATATTGGGATTAAAAAATATATATGTGTGTATATATATATATATATTTATATATTAAATTTTATAAAATTAAAAATATATATATTTATTTATATATATTTATATTTGGCTAAAGGGCACAGGTTCCTGCCAGAGAGATACAGAGAGACAGAGAGAAGGAAGAGGAGAAAACACTCCCCAAAGGAGAATGTCACTAGGCAATCCCTTCTCCTCCATCTCGCCCTTCTCTCAGGCTTTTGGCATGCAAGCACGTGCACCCAGAGTGCTTTTCAAGCTTCCCGGTCCAGGAGTCAAACAGCATTCTTGGCTATGTAGGATCAGGCTGTCTTAACCACCAGGCCATGGAGCTGTTCCAAGAAACATTTGATTTTTTAAGTGCTGACCACCAGTTCCAAAATATACAACTATAATTTGTCCATATGTAACAAATATTTAAAAAAAAAACCCAAAAAACCTTAATTCATATATGAGTCAAACAAAACACATGTCTGGGCCACCATTCTGTAACCTTTTCTTTTAAATAACAGCTTAGAAAAAAATGCATGCTTATCTGGCCACAGACACAAATGTTCCCTAGGCAGACATTTAATGCGAGGAGCAACATTCACTGCAATGTGCCATTGGGGAGCACCAAAAAGGTTCTTCCATGTTTTCTTTAGCCAAAAGGAGACAATCTGAAGCTCCATTACATCTGTACAGTTCCTTATCAGGAGCAAAATTTCTGAAAACGAAAAGTAGATTTTGTTTGTTTTACAAAATCAGTTAGCTGTAACTAATTAGACAACTTATAACAGAGGATATGTGAACCTTCCAATGAAATGCCCACGACTAAGGCTGAATTCTATTTGTGTGGTGCTTAGCCTCAAAGAATCAAATGAATAAATGTCCTAATTCAAGTCTAGATCAAGTCTAAGTCAGTACTTAATCAAACTATACAATGCACTGGAAAGTTTTTCTGGCCAGGATTCAAGGAAAACTTTAAAGTATAGCTCCGTTCTCAGAGAGGCAAATTGAACAATGCCACTATCCATAAATCTTGTCCCAAAAGCAGAGGCATAATAAAAGTCCCTCTGTACTAGAGATGGCAGAATGATCCTAGTTAAACCTCAACAAAGCTGCTGTTGAAAGGATACAGGCTATCAAACTCATTTACACACGCTTTCCTCCAAGAAAAAAATTGAAGGAGGTATATCAAACTATAAAGTAAGCTTTATAGTACATGAAAAGTCACGAAGGTTAACCAAAGAGGAGTCACTTATCACACTCAGATAAAGGAGCTGCAGCCTCTTTCTGAACATATACGATGTCTTAGTTATAACACGGCCAAAAACTGAGCTAAGACTTCTAGTTGGCATCATACAGAGAACAGAATCAACTTTATGAAATGACTCCTTAAAGGCATTATTACAGTTTTACTAGGATGTCCACAGAGGTCTCTAGTAGATAAGCAGTCAAGATTATCAGCACTGCCCACCATAACCACAGACATCTGCCGAAAGGTCAGGTAGTACAATAAAAGCTTATATATCTCCAGTTTTTTAGTTCTCTTACAATTAAGGAAATCTTACAATTAAGGGAATCTGGCTGTAGACAGAGGCATAACTATGGATTCCCCTTCAATTTTAAATGATGAAAAATCAACTCTTCCCAAAGTTAAGACATTCTCAGGAGATACAATCACAGACATGGTATCAAAACATTATTCAGAATTCTTACCATTTTTTATTTGAACACAACTGTGACACCTTCGGGCTGCAGGAAAACCTGCCAAACACATAAACACAAAAGCCCCATTATTCACAGAAAGACTGGGAATAACCTGACTAGGACATAGTGAAAGATGTACTATGTGCAAAATCAAAACAATGCCTTTAGAACAGTAAGCAAGAACTGACTAGTCTTGCCAATTCTTCCTCATTTTAGAAGTCTTCAGAAGTCTCGGGACCAGCAGTTAGCGTAATGGCCATGTCACTGGACTCCCATGTAGTCGATCGCGGTTCACGTCCCGGACCCGGTGGCTTAAAACTCACACCGGGCACATGTACATGCGTGCCCAAGATCCCGAGAGGAGAATGGAGGAGAAGGGATTGCGGCATGGCCATCCCCCCGGGGGGTGATTTCTCGTTTTCTGTCTCTCTGTCTCTCTCTGTCTGTCTGGCGAGCGCACAGGTTTTGCCCTATAGCAAAAACCTCTCAAAAAAAAAAAAAAAAAAAGTCTTCAGAAGTCTCACAGTGGAATACACTGTAACGATACATGTGATTAAATGTAATAAAAAATTATAATTAAAAACAAGAGTCTCACAGTGGTACAATGCTAAGGTGCCAGGGAAACAAAGTGGGGTGTTGGGGTAGCCTTTACCCACAATGAGGTAGGTAGATCTTGATTTAAGCTCCTATTTCTTTTCCTACCCATACTACCCCATTTCTGTCACAGAATTTAAAAACCTCCATTAAAAGTTTCTTTGTGGGACCAGTAGATGGCATAATGGTTATGTCACTGGACTCCCACATGGCCAATCATGATTTCAGTACCAGACCTAGAGGTTTGAAACATGCTGGGTGCAAGTGCATTAGTACCCAAAATCCCGAGAAGAGCGAGACTGTGGCATGTCTATCCCCTAGAGGGGTGATTTCTTGCTTTCTGTCTCCATGAGTGTACATGTATAAAAAAATCTCTCTTAAAAAAAAAAGTCTCTCTGTCTGAGACCAGCAGATGACGTAATGGCTACGTCACTGGAATCCCATGTAGTTGACCATGGTTCGAGTCCTGGACCCGGTGGCTTGAAACTCACGCTGGCACGTGTGCATGCATGCCCAAAATCCTGAGAGTAAAATGGAGGCAAAGGGATTGCAGTGTGGCCATTCCCTCTGGCGGGTGATTTCTCACTTTCTGTCTTTCTGTCTCTGTCTCTCTGGTGAGTGCATGTACCCTACAGCAAAAATATCTATTAAAAAAAGTCTCTTTGTTCAACCACTAAGAAAGAATAATTGGGTTAAGGAATGTAAGTCATTTCTAATACAAGTTCAATCTGCCATATAACTCAATAAAATTACTTTTTCCCTACCACAATAAGTAAAAGTATAAAATACATTTGATACACATAAATGAATCAATACTTTTAATTTACCTATTTTTTCATGGGGTTTTGTTGCAATTTCCTCCCATGCATTCGTTTCAAGGTTATATGCATGGATCTTGGAGAGAGAGAAAAAAAACACATATACAAATTAATTAAATAACTGTAGTTTTAATTAGTCTGAAAAATTTATTTTTAAAAATAAACTTTATTTTTCAGAACAGTCTTAGGTGCACAGCAAAACAGAGCAAAAGATACAGATTTCCTATTTAGGAGCCTGTGCAAACACATATTCTTGGATGAAATGTCTTTCTCCTTTTCTTTTGCTTTTTCTCTGAGCTTTCCTAATTCTAATATAAGACAAAACATTACATGGAACAGTTGAAAATTAAGCACATATATGATTTCAGCTTTTTAAGTTCACAGAAAAAATAGAAATGAAAAAAAGTAGAAATGAAAAGCAAAAACACATGTGATTCTTGAATTTCTTCTGTGCACTGTTTTGCAACTTGTATATTTTCTGCAACAAACATGTATCATTTTTATGACAGAAGAAAGCAAGAGTTGCTAAGAAAACATGGGGATGCAGTTTGACAAAACTTACAAAGATCATTAAGATTACTAGGCAGACCAGGAGCTCTGTAGCCTAATCTAGATTTCTCCTGGGATATGTAACCATGAAATTTCAGAAATGCCACAGAGATGGATGAATAAAAGCCCTCAGAGCTTTTCAGAGTTAGTGACATGCAGTCCTAAACACGTCTACTCTTTTAAGACACACAGCACTGACGCTGATAGGGATGTGACATCCTTAGAGCCGTGTTTCCAGTTCTAATTAGTTGTTCCATTCAAGTTACTCTACTTCTCTTTTACTCACTTTCCTCATTCAGCCCAAGGAAAGAATTATCATACTGTATTTTCAACGTGTGATAAAGGCAACTATCAACTAGAAAGGAAAGAGGGGCACAAACTTCTGCCTTAAATACAAAGAGCATCTAACACAAAACAAATGTTGATGAGGAACCTGCTCGAAAATTAAAATACCTGAAGTAACAGAATTATCTTGCTTAGAAGGATTCATGCCTCTCTCTATCCTTCTCCCTCTCCATTTTTCTCTCTTTTTTAAAAAAATACCTTGTTTAAAGAATAAGCTGTCCAAGAAGTACCACCACCCAAGATGTAAATCCTTTGTCCATCATGTGCAATTTCATGTCTGTATCTGAAAATATACAATACAATGTGTTAAATGAAAAATAATCAACCTAAGATTTAGCTCAAGATTTTTATGACATCATTATTTATAATAAATTAGAATCACTGGAAATAACCTAAGCTTTCAACAATAATGAATTGATTAAATGAATTCCAAAATATACATAAAATGGATTAGTACATAACAAATAAGAATATAGGCATATGAGATGGTTAATATATTGAGAATTTCTTTTTGTGTCACTAACTGAAAAGAACAGAGCAGAGGGACCAGCAGTTAGCGTAATGGCTATGTCACTGAACTCCCATGTAGTCGATCATGGTTTGAGCCCCGGACCTGGTGGCTTAAATTTACACCGGGCGTGTGTGTGTGCGTGCCCAAGATCCTGAGAGGAGAATGAAGGAGAAGGGATTGCGGTGTGGCCATCCCCCCTGGGGGGGGTGATCTCTCACTTTGTGTCTCTCTCTGTCGAGCCCCCATGCCCCATAGCAAAAACCCCCCCCAAAAAAAAAAAAAAAAAAACACACACAGAGCAGATAGGCTATAATAACATTAAAAATTGGGGCCAACAGGTGGCATGGTGGTTAAGGGCGCTGGGCTCCCATATGGCTGACCACGGTTTGAATCCCAGACTTGGTGGCTTTCTTTCTCGCCCTCTTTCTCTCTCTCTCTCTCTCTCTGCTCATAAATAAACAAATAAAGTTAAATAACAATAATTTAAAAAATTATAGATACACAAAAATGCACAAAAAATTACTATTAAGAATATCATCTAAAAGGTTAATTCTGGTTATTTCTGAGTTTAGATTTTCTTTACTTTCTTCTTTTTGCTTATTTGTATTTTCTATAACCTTTTTGTGATAACTTTGCATAAGGGGGGATATTATTACTAAGTTTTAAAAAGTGACCTCCCTCTATTTAATTAGAGACCCTAGACTATGGGTTTTCAAATGAAAATATTTATTTAACAGAAAATTATGCTATAGAGAATTGTGACTATAATATGAAACACCTACCAGAACTTTTCAGGTCGTCTAGCTAGAAGCTGAAATGATTTATAATATGTCCATAAAATGATTCAAAGAAGGTAACCATGTGAAAATGCTTTAAAAACTTAATATATTTTCTCCTTTCCCCTGAAGGCTCTGGTGCTGATAAAATAAATTACATCAAAATTACTCTAGTAACAGACCATCTCCCAAGTCCTCTCATGGTAGGCCTACAAATCAGCCATGGACATACTACAATAAATACAAAGTCTTTCTTAGCGTCTATATGCCATTTTATTTAAAGGCAACAAAGAGACATTGGATTAGTCTAAATAGTAAATAAAGACAAGTGTTTACTATCTTTGCTTTAAATGATAGGGGAAAAAATTGTCTTCAAATTTTTCAGTGGGTTTAATTCTAAGAAGCAGCAATTGCTTCTTAGGAAAGTGAAACACCAAGGACTACTATTAGAAGGCAACTTGGGAGAACCATATGATATTCAGGAGTTTCAAAATGAGCACTTAAAATGAATGACCTTTCTATTCCTCCTCCTTTCTATCCTTCCTCCCATCCAAAAAATATTCATTGAGCATCACTGTGGGCATGGCACTGTGCCCTGTACTGTATTTGTGAATAAATGAGCCAAAGAATCCTAATATACACATTAAGAAGGAGAATAGAAAAATAACCAGAAAGCAATTGTTTTGCTTCTAATATCAAATTTAGTTATAATTGCTACCTTTAGTTTTGTCTTCAAAGTATTACTATTTTCCTAATGCAGAAAGACTGAAATGTAAGCAGAAATAACATTTTAAAAGGGTGAAGTCCATCTCCTTAGCAGAAGCCCTTTCTCTACTACTGAGCTGGGGTCTAACAGCCAGTCGGCTACTTTAACAGGGACCAGGGGGTTTTCTTCATATCACCAACATTGTGAAAGAGGCCAAACCTTAACAAGCAGGAATAAATCTGCTTTAATCCTAGAGCCTCACCTTTCTTCTGGTAGATCACAGGACAGGTTGTTTGGTTTCAGCTGTGTCCACTCTCTGGTATTGAGATCTAGTTTGTGCAGGTCTGTGCTATAAATATAGCCAGTTGTCCCACCAAAGACATAAAGGGAGCCATTGATGATGGCCATGGCCTGGGTAATGAGGAAAGGTGAACAAGACTTAACCATTAAGACTTGAGTAAAAAATGGAAACTTATTCGATACCCTAAAGTTAGGTTTCATGAAATTCTCTTGTACTTTTTAACCTTTTAAAATATCAGACCTTCCAGTCAGCCAGTAGTGTGGTAGTTAAGGTGGTTGGATCACACACGGCCAACTGTGCAGTTGGAGTCCCGGGCCAGGGAGCTTGAAGAACATGCAGCATGCACATATGTCCCTGCCTGAAATTCAGAGAGGAGGGAGAAGGGATTGTAGCATGGCCATTCCCCCCGGGGTATGATTTCTCACTTTCTCTCTATCCCCCCCATCTCTGTCTCTAGTCAGTACAAGCATCCTACAACACAACCCTCCCCCAAAAAAAAAAAAAAGAAATGTAAAGCAAACTTAAAGCTCAGGAGCTGCTTCTCAGTACTAATGCCAGGTAGACAAGAAATAAGCATATCTTGATTGTTTTAAGCTTAGCCCATTTCTCTCAAAGAATCTCTGACACATGGCAGATTGCTTCCTATCGTTTTGGATATAATTTTTCACACCTAAGGAATGAAGCACTGAAACTAAACAAATCTCTACCTAATCTACATGTTTTAGCTCAGACCCACATACAACTCTCTTAGCCATGTACAGAAATCTTCAAGTCTACTACTTAGGACAGAAAGTTTTTCAAGGAATCATATCACTCTAAAAAAGACAGACCTGGACCATAGTGGAGTCCAGTCTCACTGGGGATGGGAGCGATGGTGGGGAATTTAAGGAAACTTCCATACTATTTGGCCATTAGAAAGAATGAAATCCTGACATTTAGGCAACATGGCCAAACCTGGAGGACATCACTTTATGTGAAATAAGCCAGGCACAGAAAGAATACCAACTGTTCCCATTCACACCAAAACTAAAGATGACCTCACAAAAGTGGAGAGTACAAAGTAATTCCTAGAGCCTGGGCAGAGTAGAGGAGATGGGATGGGAGGGTGGAGAGATGTTAATTAATAGACACGAAATTGCAGATAGGTAAGAGGAACAAGTTCTAGTGTTATTTATTATAGTAGGGTGAGGATAATTTACAATAACTAATTGTATATCTCAAATTAGCTGAAAGACAGGACTTTGAATGTTCCCAACAAGAAGAAATGACAAATGTTTGATATGATGAATATGCTAATAATCCCAATATATCATGACATAATGTACTGAAAAATCATGCTGTACCCTATAAATGTGTACAATTATTATGTGTCAATAATATTCTTTAATATTTTTTAAACTACAGAAACTTATATATACATCAGATCATAATCCTAAATTGGATTAGAAACAAAGAGTGGGGGCCAACAGGTGGCGTGGTGGTTAAGGCGCCGGACTTCTATATGGCTGACCACGGCTCAAGTCCCAGATCTGGCCATTTGAAAGTCACACTGGGCACATATGTATGTGTCCAGAATCCCAAAAGGAGAATGGATAAAAAGGGATTGTGGGGGACCAGCAAATGGCATAATGGGTACGTTGCTGGACTCCCATGTAGTTGACCGCAGTTCAAGTCCCGGACCCAGTAGCTTAAGCTCACGCTGGGTGCATGTGCGTGCGTGCCCAAGATCCCAAGAGGAGAATGGAGGAGAAGGGATTGCAGTGTAGCCATTCCCCGGGGGATGATTTCTCGCTTTCTGTCTCTCTGTCTCTGTCTTTCTGGCCAGCACACACGCCCATAGCAGAAACCTCTCCAAAAAAAAAAGAAAGAAAGAAAAAGGGATTGTGGGTGGCCCTCCCCCAGGAAGGATGATTATTCACTTTCCCTCTTACTGGCTCTATCTCTCCGGCGAGTATATATGCTCAATGGTAAAAACCTTAAAAAAAAAAAAAAAAAAAGAGGAAGGGGGAAAATAGGGAACAGCAGGCAATCAGATTTACAAATTATAATTTCATATCGTAACTGAAAAATTAACCACATTGAATTCTTTCTTCATTAAAAAAAAAATTGGAAGCATTATAAGTATTTTAACAACATCCCCAGACAAGAAAATATAAACAAATAAATGTAACAAATTAACCGTAACTGGCCAGAGACTGGTACCTGTCCATATATACGGCTGGGTTTCTTCCCCCGACAGCTGAGTAAAGCCCATCTCTTATACTTCACATTACAGACATGGACGTCATTGCCGTTGCTCTCGCCAAACGGGATGCCCGTCCCGCCAAACACTAACAGGTTGTTCCCATGCAGCACGACTGGGGAAAGAAGCACAAATTCCACTTACATACCTGAAACACATCCCCACAAAATCCTGAATATCTGAGAAACTCAGAAACGTCAGATTTACTGTTTACACAGACAGCCTAAACCAGTGCCTGCAGGTGGTGTGGTGGTAAAGGTGCTGATTCCCACATGGCTGACCACGGTTTGAGTCCTGGGCCAGGCCGCTTGAAAATCACGCCAGGCGCATGTGGGTATGTGCCCAAAATCCCAAGAGGAGAATAGAAGAGAAGGGACTGCAGAGTGGCCATTCCCCAAGGGGGTGATTTCTCACTTTCTCTCTGTCTTTCTTGTCTCTCTCTGGCAAGCACATACAATCTATGGTAAAAATATTAAAAAAAAAAAAAAAGAAAGCCAAAGCCACTGACATTTAACTATTACAAAGTTCTTCAGACAAAGCTCTAATTCGCTCTACTACCTGGACTATCTTGTAGTTTATTGTTAAGTATATGACATGTGTTCAATAGTTATTTATGGAATTCATTAAATACTGTGTATGACAATACTAAATTACATCAACTTTGGCATACCGCTGTGGCTCAAGACAGTTCAAGTATGCTGCAAAGCAGAGGAAAATCAAGTGTCACCTCTGCCTTAGCGAAGACTCAGTGGGACACAGGATGAAGGGATTAAAGGATATTCTGATTTTGCCAGGAGAATGATCTCTACATTTTAAATTATGATGTCTATCATTTTAATCCCCTACCAGATAAAAGAAACACACCAATATCCTGCAGATAACTTTGGTGTTCCTCCTCTCGGCATCTTTTCTTCTTCTCCCACACACGCGCGCGCACACACACACACACACACACACACACACTCTCTCTCACATGTACTCTCTCTAATGTACACTTTCTTTCTCCCCACCTCGCAATAGTGCTACCTTATTACTTCAGCGACTTTTTAAATCAGTTCTTTAATTGATACAGCACAGTTGTTAATGGCATGGGCTCTGGAGCCAGCCAGAGATGGATTTAAATTCCAGTGTGACCTGAGGAAAGTTATTTAACCTCTCTTAATTAATCTTTACAACTACCCTATGAGGTAGGAACTATTATTATCTTTTCCATTTTTAAAGATGAGAAAACAGATGGTTTGCATAACTTATTGAAGGTTTCCTAAAAAGAACCTTGCCAGGCTAGGGAAAAAGAACAATCCCAGGTAGTCTGGCTCCAGGGCCTGCGCTCTCAGTCGTTACTGGGAGAGAGGCTTTAGGCCTCTTGAAAGCCTCAGTGTCTTCATTTATACAATAGCAACCATTCTAGCACCTGCATCATAGGAAGTTGTAAGCTACTGTGTGTGAAGTAGAGGCATTTCTCACTTAATGACTGAGCTCCATTCCGGTGACTAGGTCATTAAGCAAATTGGTTGATAAGTGAGGAGTTTAAAGGTGGTGCCACAGGGTGTGTATTTGTCAATAGACATCACATGACACCATACTAGAATAATTTCATTCTATCCATACAAAAATTATACATTAGATAAATACCAGACAGAAAGTGACAGACTCATCACAACACAATAATATAAATCTGGCATAACTGTCTTTATTCTGAATACTGAGTGCATGATAAAGTGCAAATTTATAAATGAAATGTGTAGTCTTTCCTGATTATGAATGCATCGTGTAGTGAATACTGACTGACCACATACACACACACTTGATATTGATCCCCCTGATTAGTAATCCCATTTTACAGGAAAGAAAATTAAAGCTAAAACTCCTCCAGCAAGCAAAAGTACACAGCTAGATTCAAACTCAGAAGCCAGGTGGAGTCTGAATCACCATGTTACATTACTACCACAGTAAGAAGCCTACCCAGTAACAGGTTAAATCATATTATGGTGCTATAAGCAATTAACAAAGAACACGTGACACTGAACTTGGCCTCTCTGACAGTTCCTAAAGTCAAAAGTTCAGAACCGCTTGCACTCACGTGACATGGATGCCAATTCTCGGGGCATATAGCCATCTGTGCCCATCTGGTGCCATACTCCTGTAGCAAAATGGTACCTCCAGAGCTCCCTGAAGAGAGGGTAGTCTTCGTTATCTGGCCCTCCAGACTCATCATAATCTGGGTTATAGCCGCCAAACACATAGAGATTGGTATTATCTGCCACACAGCGATGTCCACTTCGTGCTGGTGGAGGTCTGTGGCCTAGAAAAGAAGAGGACAGTTTTCCACAGGTGGCCCACCAGATTAAAAGCACAAACAGAATAAGGTAACAACCATTTTAGCTTCAAAAGGGGATCAGGGAAGATTTGTAACATGGATGAATTTTTTATTTGCTTAGGTTATTTTATACATTTATATGCCACTACTTAAGATTTTAAGGAGCTAGTCTCCATCTCTTTTTCATATGACTACTTTCAGGTTTTGATAACTATAAAAACATATTCCCCAAGGGAGGCAAAATAACATGATAAAGTCAAGAAAATGGCCGACAACTTGGAATTTTCAAGAAAAGGAGAAGGGGTTTAAAAATTCAAAAGCTATCAGGACAAATTTTCTCTTATTTTTCTTAAAGTAGAAAAAAAACACTGACCAGCTAAAGTAAACTGTGAATATTAGACAGCTACATAAATATAACCACAAATGTGAATGAGTCATGTATGAATAAAAATACAAACATATAAAACCTCTGATTTTCCCACAATATATAATTATATACTTAAAAGAAAACTGGCTGTTAAGAAGTTACAGCAAAATTTAGAATATAAATACCATTCCAGATATTATGGCACATAACAAAGAATATCCTGGGACCAACAGTTGGTATAATGGCTATGTAGCTGGACTCCCATGTAGTGGACCGCGGTTCAAGTCCCAGACCTGGTGGCTTAAACTCACGCCGGGCACGTGTGCGTGCATGCCCAAGATCCCGAGAAGAGAATGGAGGAGGAGGAGGATTGTGGCGTGGCCATCCCCACTAAGGGTGATTTATTGCTTTCTATCTCTTTGTCTCTCTCTTTCTGGCAAGCACACGCACCCTATGGCAAAAACCTCTCAAAAAGAATCCTTATGTACATCTCAAAAAACATATTTCATCCTATTAAGAGTTTAACTAAAAAAAACCTATTATAATTTATTTGTATTTGAAAACTTTCTGTAGTTTAAATTACATCAACTAGTTCACAAAAAATAAAGGTTATTTTGGAATAAAACAAACAAAAACTTAAACTATTTCTATTAGCTTTACAATTTTTTATACCAGGCTATATAAATCCTTGCATAGCTACAGAACCAAGGATGTTTAAGTATATACTGGATGGGACAAGAAGCCACTACAGTTGTCTGTGACCCCTAAGATATATCTACTTTTAACAGCTACCAGTACAACGTTAATTAACATTTAGAACAACGGGGCTAGGTGGCGGCACAGTGGTTATATAACTGAACCCACATGGGAAAAATCCTGGGTTTGTTCCGCAGGACCTCTCTGAGCACACCGGCCATGTGCATGCACACCTGTGACCTGGGCTGGCTGAGACTAGAAGGCCGGTCATGGCATGAAGGCCCTGTTGGAGGTGCCCCCACACTCTGAAGAAAGAAACAAAAACTTATAAAGATATTCAGGGAACCAGCAGGTGGTGTAGTGGTTAAGATGCTGGACTCCCACACGGCCCACTGCAGTACGAGTCCTGCACCTGGTGGCTTGACAATCATGCCAGGCACATGTGTCCCAAATTCCAAGAGCAGAATGGAGAAGGGATTGCAGCTTGGCCATCCCCCTGGGATGTAATTTCTCACTTTTCCTCTCCCTGTCTGTCTCAATCACCAGTGAGCACACATGCCCTATAGCAAAAACCTTAAAAGACAAAAAACAAAAAAGATATTTAGGACAATGCTAGACATCTAGTAAACATGTGTTATACAAATAAATGTGTGTTTAATCATTTTTAGGGTATGCTTTTAAACAAGAACTGAAAAGAAATCTCGCACAGAGCTAGAACAACTAAAAATCAAAACAAAAAACCAGCACTGAGTCACTCAGATCCCCTCTGTGACTGCTGTTTGAGTCTTTGATGGTTCCTTACTACTCAGACACCAAGTCCTCTGCCAGTATTTGAAAGCCTTTCACCCACCAGCCTCGTCCTGCCTTCCCTCTCACACTCACACTGCCTGTTTCAGTCGGACCCTCTGCTTGGAAAGCCGAGTCCTTCCATTGTACCTCTGCCTACTCCATCTACCCTTCAATCCCTAGTCATAGAACTGCCTCTAAGTCTAGTCCATGCGGCCCTTTCTCATCAGGAAAACCCCAGCACCCTTCCAATTCAGTATGACACTACTCAAACATTAGTGTATATACGCACAATTAATAAGATGACTACATAACTACTGGGCTGTTAGAAAAGTCATGATACATTTCTGTGTAGAAAAAATATGTCATGACTTTTCCGATAACCCAATACGTAAATACATCTGTTAGGTAAACCATAATCAGTTAGCAAATTTATTAATAAGCTGTGACTTATCTTAGATGGAGAACTCAATTTCTTTCTCCATCTCTTGAAATACAGAAAATATGAAGTGGAAGAGCTCCTACCTGGGTTTGAATCCAGTTATTCTTTTTTATTTATTATTTTTTTGGAGAGGTTTTTGCTATAGGGCGCGTGCGCTCGCCAGAAAGACAGAGACAGAGAGACAGAGAGAGAGAAATCACCCCCCCAGGGGGGATGGCCACACCACAATCCCTTCTCCTCCATTCTCTTCTTGGGATCTTGGGCACAGTCGCACATACGCCTGGAGTGAGTTTAAGCCACTGGGTCCGGGACTCGAACCGCGGTCAACTACGTAGGAGTTCAGTGACTTAGCCATTACACTAACTGCTGGTCCCAGAAGCCAGTTATTCTTAACCGCTACCTTGAGCTTCACTGACTCAGCTTCCTCATTTGTATGTGGGCATATTACTGGGCCTCAAAGGTTTATTACATTTGTTATGCTAAAATATGTTTATTGGTTCCTAGGCATATCTTTCCAGGAGACTGAGCTACTTGTGGGAAGAGAAAGAAATGTACTTGTATTCACCTTTCTATAACCAACCCTAGGACACACAGAAATACTGAAGAAAGTTGTGAATCAATTAATTTGACATTTATCTTTTTCTCTACTCAAGTCATCAGTTTGTTTTTCTTCTCCAAATAGATTATAACCTCCTTAGGGTAAAGATGATATATAATAATTATCCCGTATCACCACAACACCTAAAACAGCTGGAGGTACATAACATGAAATACATTTTGTTTTCTTGAGCTTCAGGTCAAAGTAAACAGTGACAGGAATGAACAACAGAGTATGAAAACTCATTGGACTTTGATATTATACTTAGGAGATACACAATTTAAGGGACAGAGCCTTAGTTCCACAATGGACCTCTCAAGAAACATGTACTTCTTTCTAAGAATTAGCAAGCCACACTTAAAGAAGAAACAAGAGAGTTGCTATGGTCGACAGACAGAAACTCTAAGAATCTCTATCATTCACTCATTTGTTGTATACCTGGAACCAATAGCCCATTTTTAAAGCTACTTCTGGATGAGTATGAAAAAAAAGAAAAAAGAATATCTTCTAGGATTTTCTCTACATCACTGTCTATCAGGGAAAGTGTTTCAGTCTAAGTTTACTGCCAACTATTTTTGTGACAAATATCTCACCCACGTGGATTACAAGCTGAGAAGACTGTGAAAAGATGATTTTGTACCTATGCCCTCATTCATTCATTAAGCTGACAATATTATTGGACGCCAGTTATGTAACAGGTGCTGTGCTTGCTGCTAGGGACACAATGATGAGACAAGTAACTACCTCTGTCCTTTGGAGCTCATAGTCCAGACCTGCAGTCCAACGCAGTGGCCACTAACCACATATGACCACTGAGCCCTGGGCTGGCCCGACTGATGATGTACTTCAAATGTAAAATACACTGGACCCCAAAAACTTGGTACCCCCAAAAGAATACAAAATAAGTATTTTTATATTGATTATATGTTGAAATAAAATATATTTTTTTTAATTATTTTTTTTGTTGTTGAGAGGTTTTTGCTATAGGGCACGTGTGCTCACCAGAAAGAGAGAGAGAGACAGAGAGACAGAAAGTGAGAAATCACCCCTCGGGGGATGGTAACGCCGCAATCCCTTCTCCTCCATTCTCCTCTCGGGATCTTGGGCACGCATGCACACGCACCCTGCATGAGTATAAGCCACTGGGTCTGGGACTTGAACCACAGTCAACTACACGTGAGTCCAGCGACATAGCCATTATGCCAACTGCTGGTCTTGAAATGATATTTTAAATATACTGGATTAAATAAAAGCATTAAAATATCACCTTTTAAAAAAACCTTTTCAGGGGCCTGCAGGTGGTGTGGTTGTTAGGGGCGCTGGACTTCCACATAGCCAATCATGGTTCAAGTCCTGGACCTGGAAGCTTGCTTTCCTACTTTCCCTTTCTCTCTCTGGTCAAATTAAACAAATAATAATGATGGTAATAAATGAAATACAATAATCTTTTTAAAAAAAAGTGATCGCTCTTTTAAAAAAATCTTTTTCAATGTGGCTGCTATGAAATTTTAAGTTTTGAGGTTCGCATATTTGTTTATTGACATATAATAATTGTACATATTTATGGGGTACAGTGTGATTTTTACAACATGAGAACAAAATGTACAATGATTAAATCAGAGTAATCAGCATATCCATCATCCCAATCATTTGTCCTTACTTCATACTGGAAACATTTATCAATTTTCTAGCTACTCAAAGATACACAGTAAATTGCTGTTAACTACAGATACCCTACTCTATGTACCAGAGTTTGCTCCTCTTAGCTCTAATTTTGTTCCCAACATCTACCTAGCACTCCCTCAATCCTCCCAACTTCTAATTCTCATTCTTCCACTTTCTGCTCCTACCCTTCCATGAGATCCTTTTTAGTTTCTACATGTTTTTGGTTTATCTCATTTAACTTGTTTCCAGGTTCATCCATGTTAGCTCAAATGATGGGATTTTATTGGTTTTTTTTTTTTTTTTTTTGGAGAGGTTTTCGCTATAGGGCGCGTGCGCTCGCCAGACAGAGACATAGAGACAGAAAGCGAGAAATCACCCCCCAGGGGGGATGGTCACGCCGCAATCCCTTCTCCTCCATTCTCCTCTCGGGA